ACAAAATATCACGTGCAGGCATGCACGTACAGTGTGATTGAAACTTTGTGGCCCATGCGCAGAAGTCGGTATTTTGTGGAAGAGCAACACTCAAGGGGCCAAAGAGCCACATGTGGCTCGCGAGCTGTAGTTTGCTGAGCCGCAGTTTGCTGACCACTGGCCTAGAAGAATACCTGGTCACTGAGAAGGCTCTCAATAAATATTTGTCTCTACAAGCCCTCTCTGAACTCCCCATGGGAGTCAGAGACCCCCTCTTTGGGTTCCTCGGGCTCCCTAACATCCCTTATATCACCGTACACCCCCTTGTTTCATGTCTGTTCAATCACCAGTTCCTTGAAGGCGAGGGCTGGGCCTCCTGTTTGGAGCCTCATGCTTGACACAGGACTTGGCACCTGGCTGGGGCCTGGGAAATACCTGTTGAATGGAGCAGGGCTACTGAGTGGAGGGAGAAGGACAGAAAGGTGTCAAATGGTCACTGACATGCCAGTGGCCTCCACTGAGAAGGTAGGGCATCCCATGTGGCTGAGGGGCTGGGTGCATGAATCCTGGCTGCTCCCCTGTGTGCAGGCTCCTGGCAGCCCTTTTGTGATGTGGACCCACAGTACTTGCTACCTTCCCAGCAACTGCTCTGACCAAGGGAGGCTCTGCCTTTTCATTGACTGGGGGGTAAGGGGGGCGGCATCTGGGGATGGAAGGAGGGTGTTGTGGACAAGCCATGGAGCCAGGGACTCGGGCTCTGGGGCAGGGCCATGCCGTCTTATGACTCTTTTGTGTATGGCCCCTCAAGGATTGGTTGGTGCTCCCACTCCTCTCTTTCAGGATTCCTTCTCCAGACTCCTTCATCCCCTTCCCACATGGTTTATAATCTCACTATAGACTAGAGCCTCCCCTTTTGGGAAAATAGCTTTTTATTTAGTTTTACATTTGATCCTAATTTATGCTGAGATGTACTGGCTAACTTGGTTTTCTTTCCATAAATGTCTGTATCTCATCAGAGAGTCCTGGGAGGGGTTAGTTCTCTCAGTCATTTGCTCCCAGTCCCCTCCTAAAGAGACGGAGTAACCTCCCACCCTGTCCCCAGCCCACCCTGGCTTCTCTTACAGAGGAAAGCTGCTCCCGATGAGGATCCGGCCCAGGGGGTATGTCTTGCCATTCACGGTCACTGGGGGACTGACCTCCAGGTTCCCAAAGGAATCGAGGCTGGTGACAGGCTCAAAGAGGGGCTCCCGGGCCACGTAGCCGAAATCTGGGCCCTAGGCAGGGGCACACACCCATCATTAGTGTCCTGCAGCCAACGTAGTCACCTTCTGATGATCATGCCTTGACCACCTTAGGTCTGGCATTGTGGGCACTTAGCCTCTGGGTGGGGGTCACCCATGGTCTTCTTATTCCCACCAAGGAGGAGAGCCTGGCGGGGAGGTGAGTTTGTGAGCATGTTGGTGTGAGTGTGGGCATGAACGTGAGCATATAAGTGTGTGTGTGTGTGTGTGTGAATGCGCATGCATGTATCTGAGTTTCTGCAGTGTGTGTGTGTGTGTGTGTGTGTGTGAATTAGCACGCATGTATCTGAGTTTCTGCGTGTGCCTCTACTAGTATTTCCCAAACACAGAGGTACATCAGTGATTTCAGGATTAGTCCTCATTTTGTGCTATGGATGTCTCTGCTCATCTCTTCAGTTCTCCAAACCTCAGTTTCCCCATCTGTCAAAGAGGTGCTGGATCAGGTGACCTGCGGCAAGGCGGTAGATTGTTTTATTGCTCCCAGAGACTTGCTCCCCGCTTCTTAGTAAGAGGCTTTTGCATCCTGAGCTATTGCCGTGTGACTTCCGATTTCTCCCTGTAGAAGAAATATACTTTCCTGCCCAGTATCAGACTTGGTCATATGACTTGTTCTGGCCAATGAAATGTGAGCAGAAGTGCCGCATGCCAGTTCAGAGCCAAAGCCATAAGATCCACTGCGTATGCCTGTCAACTCTCTCCCATCCTCATGCTAGAAGAACGGCATTACTCAGACTTGGGCTGCTCCTGCAGCCTGGGCTCTAGAATGAGGAAGGAACAGGGAAGCAGAGCTGCAGACCACCAACCAGCAACCAACACGAGGGTAAGCAGGACATGGGCCTTTGCTGTTGTCAAGCATTGAGATTTGGGGGTTGTTTGTTACTGCATCCTTACCTAGTGAAAGCTGACTGATACATGCAGGAATGGCAGAGAGGTGACCCATGACATTCCAACCTATCCCCAAACAACCACATTTGTTCACTGAGCCCAGATGTAGCCTCAGAATCCTTCTTAGCACAGAGCTCTGGAATTGGCATAACCCCAGTGGTCCCCCGCTGATATAACCTTGGTGACCACCTGAATTTTATGGTTCCTTTTACGATGTTTTTGGTTAAAAAACAAATAGGGGTCTTGCTTGGGAACTTGCACTGGGGCTGGGACGAAGCTTGTCTGACAAAAATCCTTGCAATAAGAAAAGTGAAGTGGGAAGATGTGTGGCTTATCCTGGCCCCGCTGAGGGCTCCGGGGACAGCTGTGGTGGGTGGGATGGCTGGCTGAAGCTTAGCGCTTTCTCGCCTGGGAGCCCAGATGGCGAGGTGCGGTTTGCCGGAGGCTGGGGCAGCTGGGGCTTTACAGCGTCACATAGGCGGGCAGGCACTCGGCACAGAGCCGGCTTGGCACAGGCCTCCGGGAACAATGCAGCCCAGGGCTGTGGAGGCAGGCAGCTAGCGCTGAAGGCAGGTGGTGACGCAGGGACCGTGAGAGGAGGGTCTGGGAGGCCTCGGTTCTCAGGCCTGCGGCGGGCCGGTTTGACTCTGCCCCTCCCAGTGCTGGAGGGAATGGACAGTCCTCACTGAGGACAGTATCCAGGGCTGTGGAACAACAAACATGATGACAGCTAGTGATGGGCATGTATCAGGTGCAGCAGGATGCCTCAGAGAATGCCTTCGATCTTCACAACAAGCCTGTGAGATGGATACGGTTTCCATCCCCATTTTACAGATGAGCAAACTGAGGCTTCAGGCCACTCCTAAAGAGATTGAGTTGCTTGCCCGAGGCCACACTGCTGCGAAGGGGTAGAACCGGGACTCAAGGCCAGTCTGCCTGACATTCCAGAGCTTTGCGCTCACACCAGCGGCTTCCCCATCTCCCATGACGAGGGGGATTCGTGAGTGAAGGTTCACAAGGGGTTGCCTCTGAGTAGCCCTGATGTCTTGGGGAGGGCATTAAAGAGGAGTGGAAATGGGGGGGGGGGCGGTCAGATTGCTTAAAAAATAACAAATGCAGCCGGACCGGTGTGGCTCAGTGGTTGAGCGTTGAACCATGAACCAAGAGTTTGATTTTTCGTCGGGCACATGCCCAGGTTGTGGGCTTGATCCCCAGTGAGGGGTGTGCAGGAGGCAGCTGATCAATGATGTTTCTCTCATTGATGTTTCTATTTCTCTATCCCTCTCCCTTCCTCTCTCTCTAAAAATAAATGAAAACATTAAAAAAAACAAAAACAAAAAATACACATGCACTGAAAACCACAGCTTTAATGAGCTGTGAGGTTGGAACCAGGATTTTTGACAGTTGCTTAACTATAATTTTCCTTTTGGAAACCTATTTCGCTGTAAGTTGGGGGTGGGGCAGTGGCAGAAGCCAGGGCCCCTGACCTGCCTTTGTGACACACAGTTCCTGTTTCTCATCTAACAGGAAACTCTCCATTTGTTGGAAATGCATCAGTTATCAGAGCAGGAAAGGTCCTTAGAAATCACTGTTCCAACTGACCCATTTCGCAGATGGGAAAATGGAGGCCCTGGGCAACAGACTAATTTGTCAAGGGTGCCCGAGGCCTCCTGACCACCCCGTCCTGTCAGAGTCTCCAGGACTGCGCCCCACCCGTCCCAGGGTGGCCCTCAGCATCTCACCAGGAGCTGCTTCACTGGGAACTCCTTCAGGTTTCCGTCTCGGGGGGAGTCCAGCACCACGGGGAAGCCTTTGTGGGGGGCCTCGATGTAGCCAAACTCGATTTCATCCTGCGGGGACCCCATGGGGAGCCATCAGATGAGTCAGAGCACTACCAGTGAGTACCAGCCAGCACCCCCAATCCTCTTCCTGATCGCAAGTGACGGCTCTGGTTCTGTTCCTACGCATCCTTCCACGGACGGGCTCTGGGCATCCCAACCCCGTTTTATAAAACACCACTGGCAACATCCTGTCTACATCCTCCTGCAGGGAACACCTTAACTTGGAGCTCATTCTGTATTTACAGTTGGCTTCCTCCTCGCTGCTGTATAGTCCTCCATGGGAAGGCTGTCCTGTCATATGTGTCCCTCCCTGCCCCCCGTGGAGGGACATTTGGGTTGTTTTACAGGTTTTTGCTGCCTAGGCTGCAGTGAACTGCCTTATACATGTATGTCTCTGAGCACGCGTGCATGTGTGAGCTGATGGCAGCACTCCCGTGCGTGGCGCGGTGGGGTGCCAGGATGTTGACGTTAAGCCAACTCTTCTTGCCCGAGCCGTGGGCCACGCCCTCCCCAGCCCAGCTCCTCACCTGGATCCAGCGGTCGCCCCGGTTTATGTACTGGAAGCAGACCTTCAGCTCGCAGTTGGTTTTCTCGACCAGGTTCTTCACCTCTTTCAGGAACAGGTAATTGTCCTTCATGCTGAGACGTTTAGGGAGAGGGGAAGGCCCGGAGAAAGCGTGAGGAGGGACGAGGGCAGGCCACTGAGCTGGCAAGAGCAGCTGGCACCTGGAGGCTGGGCAGGCTGGTGAGGCCACATCTGTGTTCAGTCACCTTTGCACAGGCCGCTGGACTCAAGGGCCAAGCAAACATCCACACGTGGTGTTTGCCAAGGTCATGAACAAATAAAACGAGGAGGGGGACTCTCACCCCCACCTGCCCCAAAGCCTGGTCTCTGACTCCCCCGTTTTCCGAGGCGGAGCTCTGCTTGGCACGGAGGCAGGGTATGGGCCCGGACCTCAGGTCCTTGGTGTGGCCAGCACCCACCTGCAGGCACTTCGCTCCCCTGCTTCTCATCTCGCTGCGGCTGTCTAGCACATAATAGGTGCTCAATAAAAACACTGCTGAATGAATGAGAGGAATATCCCTTGCATAGGAGGTTCCCAACTTCACAGTATGGGCCAAGAGTATGAAAATAAATGGCAACTGTTACTTTTAGAGCGAGAACTCTGTGCCAGGACCTTGGATGGATACTTTGCTCCGTCTCATTTAATCCTCAGAGATTCGGTGACGTTAGCATTTCAGAGAAATGGAGGCTCAGAGAGGCCAAGTGAGTTTTGCAGGGTCACATATCTCTGCCCCGAAGCCCCCGGCGATAACCACTCTGCCACACTGCCCGTCTGCACCAGGGCCACTGCTTACCAGCACACATACACGGACACGGGAGGCAGGATGTTGGGGGTCATGATCCACGGAGCAATCCGGAACACCACGGTGTCTGTGAAGATGGGTGTCAGCGGAATCTCCTGGGTGTGGGAGAGAAGCAGAGGGGTGCTTGTCACTCCTGCCTTCCCAAGTGGGGGACACTGATAACAATAGTACATTTATTGAGCACTTACTGTGTGCCAGGCCCCGTGGTGGTTTTACATGCACCGACTCATTTCTGCCTTACCCCCAGTGGGGAGATACACTGTAAGCCTTGCTTTTCAGATGGGGAAACTGAGTCACAGACCTTTTATGTAGGCACATGGTACGTGGTAGAGGCTGGCTTTAAACCCAGGTGTCTGACGGCTGAGCGCACACTCCTGGCCACGTTCTGGTCTTGCCCCACCAACGTCCTCTTCCAGGAGCCGGCCCACAGGCTCCCGCCCAGGCTGCCCTTTGAGTCTCTGCGGTCAGGCCCCCTCCCCACCGGTGCTGTTAGCTGTGCCTTTTCTGCCTCCCCTTTCCCCGCGGACCTGAGGGTGCTTGTGAATGAGTTCTTTTTTTTTTTTTTTGTGAATGAGTTTTTAAGTTCAACGCCCAGGTGTCTGACGGCTGAGCGCACACTCCTGGCCACGTTCTGGTCTTGCCCCACCAACGTCCTCTTCCAGGAGCCGGCCCACAGGCTCCCGCCCAGGCTGCCCTTTGAGTCTCTGCGGTCAGGCCCCCTCCCCACCGGTGCTGTTAGCTGTGCCTTTTCTGCCTCCCCTTTTCCCGCGGACCTGAGGGTGCTTGTGAATGAGCTCTTACAAGTTCCAGGCCTCAGAGCCATCCCAGGAAGTAGGAGCTTTTGTCGGAAACCAAGGCCTAGGGAGTCCGTTCACCTGCCAGGGGTCTCATGGGCCTGAACCTGGGCAGTCTGACTCCAGAGCCTGTCCTGGTCAATGTAAGCTGGACCCAGCCTCACCGGAACGTGAATGGTGGGGGCATCTAGGTCTCCAAGCCTGGACTCCCCCTTGGTCCCTTGAGGGGAGTGGAGCATAGTGGGGGAGAGCGGGGGGCGGGGGGCAGGGGATCCTGGGCGTGGCCCTCAGGAAGGAGCCCTGCCTGGCGCTCAGGGGCAGCCCTGCACGGGGGAGGCCTGGAGCCCTCACCTCGCTCATATACTCCAGCAGGCTGACGTGGATGGAGACCAGGCCGGGGAAGCCGTCGTCGGGGAACCGCAGGCCTTCCACGAAGAACAGCAGCTCCGCCGAGCCGCCTGTGTACTTGACCACGTGGTAGAGCTTCTGCCGGCCCAGGATGTGGATGTAACGCTGGCCGAAGAACGGGTCTGGAGGGAGAAGGACCAATGTCGGACCCCCGCCCCCCGGGAAGCGGTCAGCGGGCGGGGTCACCGATGGGGGACAGAGGGCAGAGGAACTCGTCCTCCAGGTGAAGAGAGAAAAAGCAGAAGCAGAAAAGCCACCAGAGGGCCGTGGCCTGGTCACTGTCCCAGCGCTGCCGTGTGCCAGCGTGTGGCCCTGAACCAGACAACCTCTCTGGCTCTGGTTTCCTTGTCTGTAAAGGAGCAAACACTGATCACGGTTCGATTCCCTGTCAGGCCATAGGCCTGGGTTGCGGGCTCCATCCCCATGTGGGTGTGCAGGAGGCAGCCGATCAATGATTCTCTCTCATCACTGATGTTTCTATAGGCTGCTGATCGATGTTTCTCTCTCATCAATGTTTCTAACTCTCTATCTCTCTCCTTTCCTCTCTGTAAAAAATCAATAAAATATATTTAAAAAAATAAAAATAAAAGGAGCTGACTTTCCCAGGAATGGTGCTCATGGATGACGGCAGAGGACGGCTGAGCAGCCAGTGATGCTGAGAAAGCGATCATTCTCCCTGTTTTACCGACGAGGAGACGGAGCCTCAGAAAGGAGACATGGCTGGTTCGAGGTCACATAGCCAGTAAGTGGCCGAGCTGGGACTCAAAGTCAGGTCCAATTCCGAACCCCAAGCTCCCTTCCCCGTTACAGAATAAAACACAGTGTGCCCATTTGCACCCCAATTCCCCTCCAGGTACTCTTGGAGGGGAACTTTCTGTGTGAAGACCCTTGCGTGGGCCCCTGGCTGTACATCTCCGTGGCGGGGAGGACAGGCAAGTGTGTCCAGCGCTCCTGCTGGTCTGAGCCCTCCCAGGGTTCGCAGTGCTGCTCCGCTGCTTGGAACAGCCGTCTCCCTCCTTCAGGCCTTGATTTATGTCACTTTTTAAAAAAAAATTTGTGTCACTTCTGAGAATTGTGCCCGGGTCCCTCAGAGACCAAGCCAGGGGCTGTTTGGAGCCTCCGCAGCCCCGTCCTTCCCCATCCCGGCCTTTCCGAATGGCGATGACCTCAGTGTTCACTGTTGGCCCCGAGAGGCTGTCACTTTGTGGGGGCAGAGACGGGTCGAGCCCGTCTGGCACGTGGTTTAGTAAATGTCCACTGCACCGACGGCTCCCAGACCGCTCCCCGTAGGAGGGTTTTTAGGCCAATTCAGGCGCATGTATTGACTCATTACTCTGTGGCCAGCATGGGCAAGGGCTTGGGGGCAAGAGGCCCAGCATCTCTGTTGAAGAGCAGCGCTCAGCTGATGGTGAGACAGAGCAGAGTGGGGAAGCGTCACCACAGAGCTGTGGGGGAGCGATCCCACGGGGTTACTGGGGCGGGGAGGGCAGGGGAAGGAGGCGGGATGGGAAGAAGCATTTGAGCAGAGAGGGCAGCTTTGAGATGTCCTTTGGGGGTGGCAGACGTGGGGTGCAGTGAGGAGAGGGTTACTTGCATTGGCGAAGCCATGGGCGTAGGACCCTATGCGGTTCCAGAAGGAGTTTCCTTATGCCCCGCAGAGCTGGAAGGGCAGAATCAGACTCAGCTTAGCGCCATGGTCAACATGGTTAGTGACCAGTCGCCCAAGGCTTAGAACATGTAACCAGAACAGTCCTGGTACAAATAGGGTGGTTGATTAGAACTTGCAAAATGAAGGAAAGAACCAGTGCAGTCCAGGCTTCGAATAGCTCCTCACATAGGACAGTGTTCCACTGGACACTGGTCAGGCAGGGCGGACGTAGGTTTACAGTTGTTCACATGGAAAATATTACAATAATTCATAAATAATAACACAAGAGTAAACTTGGTGTTTCGAGTATTCACAACTATACACCTACTTTTCCTCCAGCCAGTATTCCTCACTGAGGGTGGTCGCCTGAGTGGTTATGGCTTCCACAGTCAGAGAGATCTGGGTTCAAATACCACGCTGGCTTTATAAGCTGTGAAACCTCAGGGAATTCACTTACCCTCCCCTCCCCTCAGTTTACTCATCTGTTAAATGGAAGATGACAATACCTGTGCCATAGGGTCATTGCAAGATAAAATGACACAGCATTAGTACCTTCGGTAAACTTAGTAACCATGGGTAACCACCGGTAACACAGCTGGGACCTGTTGCTATCGCTACTATGAGAACCGCAAGTGAGCCAGCACACCCCTTACTGCAACACTCATGACCTGTTCGTCTGGCTGGTGTAGCTCAGTGGTTGAGCGTCGACCTATGAATCAGGAGGACATGTTTCCATTCCTGGTCAGGTTACATGCCTGGGTTATGGGCTTGATCCCCGGTGGGGAGGCATGCAGGAGGCAGCCGGTCAATGATTCTCTCTCATCATTGATGTTTCTATCTCTTTCTCCCCTTCTCCCTTCCTCTCTGGAAAAAAAAAAATCATGACCTTTTCATCAAATGGCTCATGAACAACAGAAGGCAAAGAAATAATATCTCCCATCACCTCCCCTTGGACGGGCCCAGGAATGAGGCATATAGACTCAGGCACTGAATGTTCCCAGGAACTCATCCCAGCCCCACGGAGAAGGTGAAGTCGTCCTCATTCAGCAAGGACAGCGTGTGCCCTGTTTCCCAATCTGCATAACTAAAAACATTCCCCCCTGGGCACACAGGCTCGTCCACGGCCACACACCCAGGCTGCACTTGAACCGGTAGATGCTCAGGGGGAGAGATCTCAGGCCTAGAAGGTGACTTGTCTTTGCAGAAAACGCCAAAGCTGTGATGGGGGAGGGGCTCCACCAGGGCTTGTGGAGGGCAGGGGCCTGGCCAGGGGAGCTGGGTCAGCTGGAGGGACATGATCTTGCCCATCTGCGTGCAGTTTTCTCCCTCTCCTGGCCAGCGATCTCCATGGGGCCAGCTCTGGGCAGATTGTTCCTTGGTGGGAACAATCCGGCCACTGTCCTGAGGAGCCTCCTTCCCTTGTCCCCCGTCCCCAGCTGGGTGCAGGCCCCCCTGGGCATGGCTGGCTCTCCCTGCAGGAACCAACAATGCCCCTTTATGGACCGGCCACATGCCCGGAGCCGGGTCGGCCGGCCACCCTGACCTCTCCTTAGCCCCAGGCATTGGTATGATTTGGCACAACCCTTCGGTCACTTTGGCGATATTCCACCTCCCAAGGAGACTCCTCAGTGTGACAGTATGAGCCACTGTCCTGCTGTGCCCGGGACGGAGGGGATTCCTGGGGTGAGGGATTTTCAGTGCTAAACCTAGGAAGGTCCTGGGCAAACGGACACCCTGGTCTCTCTATCCTTGATAGAAAGAGGTCAGGCCCAATTCTGAGACCCTGGGGCCGAAGCTGAGGCTGGATCTCCCTAACAGCATTCGAGACTTCTAATGATTATTAACACTCATCATAATTCCAACGAAAGACACAAGTGCCATCTAGAGAGAGCGCTCCGTGGACCAGCTACTGTGCCGGGTGCCTGACGCTCACTCGTCTTGAATCCCCATCACCAGCGGCTCAGCCAGGCCTCTTGTTGTCCCCAAATCATATCACAGATGAGGCACACGAGGTCTGGATTTGTTAGACTTGCTTAGATCTAGGATTTGAATCTCCTGGGCTCCAGGGCCCCCTCTTGGGGTCCCTAGCCTCCAGTCCAGCCCCCTGCCTGATGGGGAACTCAAGAAGTTACATACTTTTCGTTTTAGTTATAGAGTTACTAGGCTTGGTAACTGGTGTGTGTAGAAGTTATTGCTCCGGGGCCTGGAGTGTATGACTGGACCTGCCCTGACTTCAGGAGACCCACAAGCAATCCAACCTTCATGCCCCGGGAGGGCTGCAAGCGACCAAGACGGTATCGGAGCCATGTGCTCCAGGGAGAGCGTGTCCCTGCCCAGGATGCGGATGCAGATCACCATCTAGCCAGCTGATGTGGCTCAGACTCATCATCATAATTCCAACGAAAGACACAAGTGCCATCTAGAGAGAGCGCTCCGTGGACCAGCTACTGTGCCGGGTGCCTGACGCTCACTCGTCTTGAATCCCCATCACCAGCGGCTCAGCCAGGCCTCTTGTTGTCCCCAAATCATATCACAGATGAGGCACACGAGGTCTGGATTTGTTAGACTTGCTTAGATCTAGGATTTGAATCTCCTGGGCTCCAGGGCCCCCTCTTGGGGTCCCTAGCCTCCAGTCCAGCCCCCTGCCTGATGGGGAACTCAAGAAGTTAAATATTTTTTGTTTTAGTTATAGAGTTACTAGGCTTGGTAACCGGTGTGTGTAGAAAGCTATTGCTCCGAGGCCTGGAGTGTATGACTGGACCTGCCCTGACTTCAGGAGACCCGCAAGCAATCCAACCTTCATGCCCCAGGAGGGTTGCAAGCGACCAAGATGGTATCGGAGCTATGTGCTCCAGGGAGAGCGTGTCCCTGCCCAGGATGCGGATGCAGATCACCATCTAGCCGGCTGATGTGGCTCAGAGGTTGAGTGCCAACCTATGAACTAGGAGGTCACGGTTCGATTCCTGGTCAGGGCACATGCCCAGGTTGCAGGCCCGATCCCCAGTAGGGGGCGTGTAGGAGGCAGCTGATCAATGATTATCTCTCATCATTGATGTTTCTCTCTCTCCCTCTCCCTTTCTCTCTGAAATCAATAATATCTACCTACCTATCTATCTATAAAGAATCACCATCTGATTAACCTTTCCCCCCTGAATTCCAAACTCTTTACCTACACTTTTTTCCTCCTTATAAAAAGAGTCGCCTTGAGATGAGATGTAAGATGATTTTTTTTAGGGCACATAACCCACCATCTTCTCAGATCACTGGCCGTCTGAATACAGCTCCCATAAAGACCCAACCCTTCTCTCTACTTAGTGGTTCTGGTAGTGACAGGTTGTGGGTGATACATGACATTCCTGTAACACAACACCCTCTCACCCACAGGTGTACCTGGACCTTGACGCTACCCCAAAACGTTTGCACAGAAGAAAAGGAAACTGTGCCACAGAACGGCCATTTTCCATCCTGTTCTTT